CCCCCCTCCCCTGTTTGGTTTGGTTTCTCTCCTTTTAGAGGTGGAAATTTGCAAAAAAGGCTTTTTTATTTTCCCAGTCGTGGCTACTGTTGGTTGATCTGAAATCCCACAATCGCTGGTTATTGTTTGGAAAAAAAACCCCGCCCATGTGCCATCTAATCTAGCAATAACAAAGTAACGACACAGAACCTATGAGGATTTTACTAAATAAAAACACCAGATGCTGCATTATTTTATCCCTGAAAACTGCACCGATCCGGAGGGTGACGCCATAAAAGTGTTAATATTCGTCATATCAAAGCCTGAAGGGGGAGTTTGTAAGATATTTGTTTATTTCTTTTGTATTTTTCTTTACACGGACGTGTCAAATGTGTTTTTTTAAACTCAAGTGTTGAAGTGCACATGTTGTTATTTTGCGTAATTGTACAGAATTTGGTTGGAAATGACAAAAAAAAAAGGATAAAAAGGAGCGGTTCAGGCGGACGGGAGAGGAAAAAGGGGGCGGAGCCTCTCGGAAAAAGCCTCTAACAGTGAAATCCTCCAGCTAACGCTCTTAGAAAAACATCCGTCAGTAGGTATTTATTAAATAAATAAATAAGGACTGAAAGTGATCAATCCAAAAAACACGCTGCCGAAATCACAACCCTCAACCACGTTGGCGTTTCTTACAGGAGATTCGAAAGGTTCCTTTGAATCTTCCAGTCGGATACTGTAAAGTTGTAAAGTATATTTTACTGTAAATAGCACTTTTGGGGTCATTTTTACTCCTTTTGTAACTACAAACTAGGGATTTACAAGATATAAAACTATATTTTTAATTGATTTAAAAGAGACTCTCCAGCAGGGCGGGTTTCCTAATCCGCCCCGCCCCCCCGGCAGACGTTTCCCAGAGGCTCCGCCCACTCCCCCCCCCCCCCCGGCCCGGTGTCCCCGTGGGGCGCCGTGCCCGTGGGCTGTTGCCAGTGTTGGGGAGTAACGGATTACATGTAACGACGTTACGTAATTTAATTACTGTAATTCGTTACAGTTACAATGAGAAAGTGTAATTGAGTTACAGTTACTTCCGGAAATATTAAGAATTACAAATTTAGTTACATTTTTTTTTAAATATAAAGAAAAACCTTTGCAAAATATGAAAATTAATGATAGACGAAGCATATTGATTTACTAATATTTGACGGTTTGGTGTTGATGCATGACAAACGTTTATCGATGTCTATGACTTAGCCTAGCCTAGCCTAGCCTAGCCTAGCCTAGCCTACCCAACTGTAGGGTGACCAGACGTCCTATTTTTTCCTGGACATGTCCTACATTTCAGACTAGGGTTGTCAAAAGTATCGATACTTAAAAAAGTATCGATACTAAAATGTTGTATCCGGATACGATACTCATTTTAAAAAGTATCGATAACAGACCTTAGCCTAGCATAGCTAATAATAACATGCTAAAATTAATCATGGGTCAATACTCCTTAAAACCTTAAAGTAATCAAAAAGTAACCAAACGTAATTAGTTACATTACTTTTTTAAAAGTAATCGAAAAAGTTACACTCCAATTACATTTTAAACAAGGTAACTTGTAACTGTAACGGATTACATTTTTAAAGTAACTTACCCAACACTGGCTGTTGCCAGGGAAACCGAGCCGCACAAAGCACAGCAGGGGACGCCGTGGGGGGGGCAGTCTGGTGGACCATGTGATGGACATTGGTGGTTTTAAATGGCTAATTAAGGGGGATTTAGCGTGTTAGCGTTTGATAGGAGTGTTTTGGATGTTCTGGGGGGGGGGGGTTTGGGGGCTCAAAATGGGACTAAAAAGCAGGTAACCACTAAAATCTAAACTTTTAATTGTCATGCTTGTATTGTTTATTATATGTTATTTTTTTATGCCTTTGCCCGCCTAGGGACTACGGATGAAAATTAGCTTTGTAGCTACAATCCGGCATATTTACATTTGTTTTCACTGATGTCCATTAATGTGCTTTGTCCCTATTCAAATAAATAAATAAATAAAAAGTAAAATGTGGATCTGGGGGGTTAAAAGCTGGTCCCACTGGCTGCCCCCTCCTCGGTGAGATGGGTCAGTTTATTTTTTTTTTGGGGGGGTTTATTTAGCTTTCAGTTCCCCGTTTTCAGCCGTTTGGAGGAATGCTGTATGATCACCACTACTGACTATTAGCCCCTTTTTCTTTTGTACCAACAACTGGAACCCTGTACAGATGTAAAGGTGGGATTTCTTGCATTGTGAAGATGACTGAAACAAGGATGTATAAATATTGTATCAAATAAAAAAGACGATGCATTAAGCTTTTACACGCTGCCCACACGTGTGTGTGTATAGAATTCTATATATTGTCTGATTATTCATTAGATATTATCAATTAATAGGTGGACAGGGAAAATAATTAGAAGCAGCTTC